TGTCTTCTTCTTCGTCGTGGTCTTCTCTGCAGGTGCACGTGGCGGCTTCTTCAACCTCCAGGTCCGCTATGGCGGACTTTTTCTTCGATAGCCACTCTGGCTATGGCGCGTAACTCTTCCCTGCAATACCCGACGGCGCGCGTGGAATAGCGATATCAATGCAATCAGACTCGCTCTCATTCACACTTCTCATGCTTGCAAACAGCTGCGCAGCAAACTGACGACGAGCGCCCACTCAAAACTCAGAGATATGGTAGCCGAGAACACGGTTCAGATACAAGTTCACTTCATTGGCTATGGCGACACAGCGCCCACACAACTCTCTGTTTGCACACACAGGATCACCCTGGATATCCCACACGCGATACTCTGAACACACACACACATACACACATTGAACTCTATCTACAGCTATGGCGGCTATGGCCGCTACTACCCTATCGCTATGGATAAGCTCCTTCTCTCTCGCCCACTTCGTCTTCGGGCTCACTGCAGACCACCTCGCACAAGTCGCTTATGGCAGCGCTTCCGCATGGCTCACTCAGGAATGAATGAATGACTGGGCGCTGCCTCTTGATTTATACTTCTGCAGCTCGTTGGTCTTGCTTGACTGGACTAGGACTGACTGGGACCGGTACTGCTGACTGCATGGGTTTGCACTGCGAACTCAGCGCAGTCGCAGTGTCGACGTAGTGCAGTTGGGCTCACCACTTGCCCACTTGCCTCAGTCTAAACGTGAGCAACTTCGAAAGGCCACTGCTAGGACCTTCCGGAAGGCCGTGGACTTGGCCTTTCGATACTGTAGCAGCTACGACCTTGACCCTTCAGGACTGTAGCAGCTACGACATCCAGAACTCTCTAAGACTTCTACTCGACAGACCTACAGATCGAACCCCTGCTACATACGGACCCTACGACAGTCTACCAACTGTTACAAATACACAGGTCACGGGTTCAACTCTCAGGGTCGACACAGATACTATACACAGGTAGGGTGAGGTCTAGGGATCGAGCCCTGGGATTTGCATCAGCTACTGCGAACTGGTGAATACCGTTTCAACTGATTGTAATCCAATGCATCCACAATTGGTGGCAATTTCTTTAATTACGGCACAGTCCATTGTTTCCGGTCTGCACTTTTTTTTTTTTTTTCCCCTTCAAAAACTTCATATGCGGGAGATCCCACTTAACGAGGTGATAAGAGCAGCCCCGTTAAGTGGGTCCCGACGTTGAAGGGTCCATCTATTGGTGAGGAGCTACACCTGCTGGAAATCGGGTCGAGCGTCCCTTATACAATGATGTAAAAAAAGACCCTATTCAACACAACGCCAGTACTTGGAACTCTTCAACACCATTAGAAGAGAGGAGAAGTTGTAGCAGGGCAAAGGTGGTCGAATGATATCAACATTCCAACACAAACCCTAAAAAGTTAGCCTAAATCACATCTCCCATTTCCCAGATTTAACACTACCACCATGAAAGGGGGGAGCGCCAATAGCTAGAGTGCAATGATCTTATTAGCAATTAAGCAATTATGTTTTGACATGGGATGGAGAAAAACGAGTAGATCCACACTTCCCGCGCCTCCATACCTCATGGTACCACTTATTGCATAAGGTGGAGGAAGCGAGAACTTCCTAACAAACTCACATCACCGCTCCTGTAGTTAGTATATCAGCACTGTCGATCAACCTGGAAGCCCAACTTGCAAATCTCAATCACCCATCCTCCGCTATCCATTCCTGCTTACCCAACACCTAATCGCTCCATCCCCACCACCTTGGTGAGTAAGGCTGTCGACGATATGGAGTCCTGACCCTAGGTCGCCCCAGAAGAGACCAATCCCATCAGACTCCAAACACGTACCTGTACCAAATTCATTAGCATCAGCCATGTCATCGAAGGAAGGCAGGGTGCAGGGAAACCCTCCTGTACTTGAGCCATCAGACGGGATGTAACCTCCTCCCCTCCCAGCAGAAAGGCGAGCGACGGGAGGCGACAACTCCATTCGCGCCACGCGGGGAGAGAGCGTAGAACGAGTATTGTTGATGTTGTTGTAATCTTCGTTGTTGCTGTTATCGACGTTGGTGTGAATCAGTGTTATCATCCTCCGATGGTGCAGGTGCCGCTCTTGCCTCCGATGCTGTCCTCACGTCCACCAGGCTTACCTTTGTCAGTGCACTCGGTGCAGTCCTCGCAGCCACCAAAGTTGTTGGTATTATTGCTGTTGTTGTTGTTGTTGGTATTGTTGTTGGTGACGGTGTTATAGTCGTCGTCAATGATGCGGGTGCCACCAAGGTAACCTATGCTGTCCTCCAACTCTGTACGGAGGGCGACACCCTCTTCGGAGCGGGCATAACAGACATTCAACAGCTCATCCGCCTGGCTCCAATCAATGATGGGATCAAGCTGAGAAGCTGGCCCCTCTTCCAGCTCCCAGATGATCGCCAGCATATCCTGGCTCCTACCAGCCAGCCAGACAAGCAGTGAAATCGCCCCCCTGTCAACCTCCGTCCCCTGCTGCTTTTGGAGATACAGCTCACCCACGATCAGCTGCAGCCTCCGCTGGCCCCTTTCCAGAGTACATAACCACGCGGCTGCTCCACGATGTAACTCTCCGGGTGAAGCCATAGTTGGTTGAACAGCTACACCGCTTAACTTGCAAGGTACTTGATGCAATCTCACGGCCGGCGCTGCCCCTGCTTACGCGGCACGGTGCCTCCACAACACCAAACAATAGGTGCGCCACGTGGCAATCGAGAGTGCCACGTATCCTATTGGGCGCGTACTCAGGCCTAGCAACCACGGGGCCCTCCTCCCCGGGTGCTAGTCGAGTCACGGACAACCGGGCCGTGCCGGTTGGCCTGCTGCGGGGCGCTAGCGCTAGCGCAGTCTGTTCCTCCCTCCAGGGGGCTTTCTCTTTGTCGTCACAAGTGCAATTCCCTGTTCGGACAGGCTTTAATTTTGAATCGGTCTGCACTTTCTTTTTCGAGGGAAAAAAAAGCGCAACGGCCTTGAGGTACCATCCTCGAACTGACAGGCCCAAGGTGATTGAGAATTATTTCATTTTATTCATCTAGTTCCATGTGGATTCTGGATTCAAGCTCAAGTCTGCATTCCAGTGGATCTTAGGTGTACTGACTGAGCTAGGCCCGTCGGTGAAGAAAACCCACCTTCGTTTCAATTCTGGCTAGAGACTAGAACCCATCACCTATCTGGTGCAACTGAGGCATGCACCCACATGAGCTACCGAACAGGAACTATTCTCTTCGTTTCTCGCCCCTACCTTTCACAGGCCTGGATGGGTGTGGGGGGCCGTGCGTGGGTGTGCATGCTGGTGCGTGCATTCGTGCATGCGCATGCACGGGTGCATTCGTGCGTGTGTGCCTGTGTGCCTGCACATGCATCGTGTGTATGCATGTGCGTGCGCATGTACACGTGCCCGTGCAATGCGTGTATGTACGTATGTGTCCAATATATCCCCTGGTGTACTCACCATGCACCCCATGGAACTAATGGTACAACCCACCCTGCCACAGCATAACTAACACTGTATGTTGCCACTCTACTATTTCTCATGGAGCTGCCTCTTACATACATGGTTATCCATGACCAGCTTTCCAAAGTGCCAGACATATAGGCTAGAGGTCATGGGGGAGGTGGGAGGGCAGACAGCATGCAAGCATACCAAACAGGCAAACCAAAGAAACAAGTCCCAAAAGGATGCCAAGACCAGGCAGACATGCAAAACATCAAAGCATGCCAAAACCAAGCACGCAAAAATAAAGGCAAAAGAGGGCACTGGGGAGGGGGGACAGCAGACAGCATGCAAGCACACCAAACAGGGAAACCAGAAAAAGATATAAATCCCAAAAAACATCAAAGACCGAAAAAATAAAAGCTGATGATGATAAGATTGTTTCGTCGGAGTTGCACTGACTCATCAGGAGGCTGAACCCTCGACAATCTGCGGAATCCCCATATTGATGGTTCGGGTCATGAACCCTTCGACCCATGTTGAAGGTACACTGTCCCATAGCAGCGGGCAGCAACTCAGTGAAGCACCAGGCAACGTTGCCGGAGCAACCCAACTGCTTATCACCAAAGACGACTCCAAGAAACGACGGGGCAAGCGGACGTGCAGCTCGGCAACCGTGCAGTGAAGCGCAAGGCGACATCGACAAGGCGACCGGACTACAAGGCACACAAGCGAAGGACACGGAAGGCCGACAGGGCAAGCGGACGAGCAGCTTGGCAACCATGCAATGAAGCGCAAGGCAACACCAACAAGGCAACTAAGCCACAAGGCACACAAGCAAACAAACTGAAGGCACGGCCTGCGGATGGGCAGCAAGGTAGCAGAGCAGCGAGGAAGACCTGCGAAGCACGCGGGACGGCAGCAAGGCAGCGGCAGAGTGCAGACAAGACAGTCTACACATCGAACATGGAGCAAAGCAGCACATGGCCTACTCACATCACGAGTTAACCCCACAGACTGCTGGTTCCCACCACCCGCTGAGCCAGGGAATCACTCAGACGAACATCTGTCATCACCCGCAGGAAAAACCGACATCCCAAACTGAGCGGCCACCCTAAGAGTGCTGTAGGCACCCCAAACGTGGAATGACCAGCTGTCTGGCACTGCTCGAGGGTGCTCAGCGAGGGACACAAAGTAAGAAAAATACAAGAAAGAAGAAACATACATAAAAATGTGTGTGTGTGTGTGTGTGTGTGTGTGTGTGTGTGTGTGTGTGTGTGTGTGTGTGTGTGTGTTTAAGAAAAAAAAAAGTGCCCTGTTATTGTTGTTTTAATATTTTTGTATTGGTTGAGGTTTTCTGCAGGAGCCACTGCTTTACTTCCTTAGGTTTCTTGTTTCAACTGTTCTGGATGTTGTAATGGATCTCTTTTTTTAAGTTTTTTCCTTCTTTCCTCAAAAAGTATCACTGTTCACCCGTTTAATTTTCTCTCCTATCATGGGGTAGGAGGTTTTTTTTTTTTTTTTTTTTAATCTCAGCAGTGCTGCTTTCTCAATTCTGTAAATTATGTCGGTAAATGATTTAGAAATCGGTTTTGAGGGTAGGTTGTTGAAGGCCGGGTTGAGGGCATGTGTTTGGGTGACTCAGGGCCAGGCCCCATCGACGCTATGTTTATGCTGTGCAAGTTCAAACCTCACCACCTCTTTGGTCAGGTTCATATTTTCTTAGTATGAATGTAGCATTGGTGAGGCCTTCTGAAATAATGGAAGCAGTCTACTACAGCCCCATTGGTGCTACGTTCGTGCTTGTGCGAGTACAAACCTTGCCACCTGTTCGAAAAGGTTAATGTTTTGTTAGCACGAACAAAAGTTGGCGGGCCATATGTCAAATCAAGTCACTTCTGAAATCCAGGAAAAGTCCCGCACTGCCAACTGTCTGCGAAGAGCGTCCAAGGACAGGTTCTTGGAGTCTCTGGGTTAAACTGCCAGTCCACCTCAGCCCTTGTAGGTGTGCAGATGCAGAGATAACAAACTGTCCTATGTTGATTGATGTGTTCCCTAAGTTGGCGTAAAACTTGAGAGAGAGAGAGAGAGAGAGAGAGAGAGAGAGAGAGAGAGAGAGAGGGACAAGCATGTGTGTGTCTGTACACGTGAGAGGGAGACAATGGGCCACACATTTTGTGCATGTACAAGTGTGTGTGTGTGTGTGTGTGTGTGTGTGTGTG